GTAATCTGGGGAAATGATGGTATTCTGAGAATACTGACTTCAGCTACTACTTCTGTAATGAGTTCCTTGGTGGGAAAAGGTTACATGTTCCCGTAAGATGCACTCTCGCATGAAAATGGTTTCAGGTCCAATCTTGGCATCTCTAGGTAGGACTGAGAAGTCAACAAACTCGCTAGTCACCACGGGCAACACTAAGCAGATGGACCAATTCCATATACTAAGCCAATTCCAGACAAAATATACTGGTTAAATATAACAAAGAAACCAGCTTAAAACCACTGGCCCATTTAGCTTAGTATTGTCTGGGATTGGTTGATAAACTATTCTGGGTTTGAACTCATTATTTATAGCAAAGCATGATGTATGAACCAAGCCAACCATGGCTTAATCCAGGGGACAGTTTATAGTCCTAGCAAAATATGTGGTCTACAAGTTCTTTCTTTGTGGCCTCCAGGAGCTTCCTCTGACTATACTGCAAAAACATTTGAAGGCAAGAAACTCATAAAAATTAAGGTAGGCTTAACATAATTTAAAAAGCAAGTAACTTCCCAATACCCAGAAAAAAAAATCCTGATCCCAGCCCTAACGCAACCTTGTCTTTTGATTTGCTACCATAGGTAAATACTCCATCAAATCAACCTCAACTTCTGGTTACTTTGTCAATGTCAATTTTCTTGGCAACAATACCAAAGTGGCTTTCTATTTCCTTCTTCTGGAATCTTTTTCAATTTTCCAGTCTAGCCAACAAGAATCAGGCATGGGGTTTCCTGATTGTCTCCTATTAAAATAGTAATCAGGTATGACCCTAACTTTTTGAGATCAGTCATGATTGACTAAATGCTGTGACCTGCCCAGACACTACTCCCAGGAGTCTCTCCAGAAATGTTAAACACAGCTCTGGGCTATCAAAAGTTTCTACCACTGGCTTATTGTGATGCATTAGGCAGATTTCAGTTTTCAATAGAGTTCAGTCCTGACAACTTCTATCACTTCAACTATTGAGAATTCTGAGATAATATAATCAACTTGTGCAATATTTTCATGGAAGCTCTCACTGTTGTTGAATTCATTCAAAAAAAGAAGATTAAAGGAAAAGGGAATTTGGTTAATAGACTACAGGGTGAAAAAGGTTTGCTCAGAGATTTTAGCAGCATTCATCTGATCACCAAGGTAGATAGTACTGCCCAGTAATTTATGGTGAAGTCAGCTCAGCTTGTTTGCTTGACCGAACTAAAAGCACAGCGGCATTTCAGTTCTTGATGGTATCGCAGGAGTATGCTTACAAACTACACGATTGAACTTTAACTGCTATGAAAGGAGCTGGGAGAAACATGCTATGCTCAGATTAAACAACCAACAGCACTCCCCGTCTTAATATAAACTCCTTCAGGCATCTTCTGCACACAGAATTTAGAAAATGTATTAAAGGGGACAGCAGGGTTGCTCTGTTGGCCCTATCCTTGTTGTCTTCCATGGCACAACACCCCCTATTGCTTTGCACTGGGTCAGCAGTTTCCGCCTGGTTGTCCAGTGGGTGTGGCCAGTGCCAGACAAGACTTGGCAGCAGTATTGTCCTGTTGCTCATTCTCTAAATAAAAGTGTTGTGTTCTCCAAATATAGGATTGTACATATGGAGACATTTGAATGGCGTTCTATTGATAAATGTTGATAAGCTTTGATTATGCATCTCTGTCAATGGATGCAAATGCAAAATAATATTCCTTTTGTTAGCAAAAATTTAGTCACTGGATCCTCTAAAAAAAAAAGACCTCCAGAAAATATGACATAACATGTTTTTGAAGTTCAGGTCTTCCTCTCTCCAGTATTTGCAAAGTATCTCCTATGCAGGGGACAGAGGGAATATGACTCTCAATTTCCTTCCTTTTAACTGGACTCAAAAGTTTAAAAACTACAGGCACCTTCTTATTGCCAAATTTAGCCTAGAACTCTTACCATATCTGTACATGACAATGTGGATTCGTTCTAACAAGCGGCAGGTTGATTCCTGACATTTAAAGAGTACAGTGCAGGATTGAACTACAAAACTTCTGGGGTTGTTCGCTGGGAAGACTGGGTTAAAGAAATAAATTCAGCTGCAGCAAATTATACTGACAGAGGTGTACAAAAAAAGAGTGATCATGCCATGAATGTTACACAGATTATCATTTTGAAAGACTGAATATCCCCCTCCTGACACCACATATATCAGGTCTCTTTAACAATCAATAGAGGCATACTCATGATGTGTGTCTGCACATCAGCATTAACACCATGTTATTCTGCATGGCAAATACAGAGAAGTGGAAGATTAAGAAAGGAGATCAATGGTTTTTTGAAAGGTTTCATGCTCAGTACACCATCCAATTACCTTCCTTTAGAAGCCGCACTAGGAAGGTTTATATTTAATTATGGAAAGGCAATTTACAAGCATATGAAATCAACATTATTCAATTCCTTTAGTCTGTTTTTAAAGTTTATTTAGCTTTGTGGTTTGGGTGACATTAATGCTGCAATGGCAGTTGCTTGTGAAAGATGAACAACCCATCGTCAGTTATCTGGGTGATAAATAATCTTTCACCAACACTTTGGAACCATTTACTTTCATAGGGGTCTTTTTTACTTCAGCAACTTATTCAAGACAGAAGGTCAGATTTACAGTACTGTATGCTATGGGAGGAGAGAAGTTTGAAGGAAAGGCAATAGAGATCACAAAAGCACATCATCTTGCTAAACAAGAACACCAGGATGGAGAAAACTGTTGTACATACTTCCTTGAGAGCATGAGTAAAGGGTGAGTAAAGGGTGAGTAAAGATTGCAAACATGACACTTGCATAATCATGTATCTTACCGCAAATGCTACAACCAATTACATCGCTTCTTGCAAACTTTTTGGGTCTAGGGTTGGGCTATAGAACTTTTCTGGGCTTGACTTTTTCTGTGAGTAGAATAGGTAGGATAAGCCAGAACAAAAACTATATTCAGTTTTCATTAAATGTAACTGAAACAATACATAGGTAAATGCATGACTCTCCAGGCATGCATTTCATTACTTTCTCCTCCTGTTACAATAAAAATTACAATTTAGTAACAATTTTTGGCTGCCTGTAGGGTCAGACCCTTAGGCCTCAAATTGTAGCTTTCTGATACATGGAAAAGTAACAGTGAACACTTGGCCTGGAGCAGAACTGGGCAGAAAGGAGTAGCTCAGTCCATTCAGCAGCCAACAGAGGAGTATAGAGATGGCCTTGAAGAAGGTATTCAACAGCCGTTAGGTAAATACCAGCTTAGTAACTAGTGTTGGTGCCAGCATCTGGCCTCCATGACAATTGCCAGGACTGTAGTGTTCCAGAACCCTGGCAAAGCATCCTCCTGTTTTCTGCTGGGGTATTCCCTCATTTATTTTAAAGATCCAGCAATCTAAGCAGCATTAGGCAGCTTGATGGCTCCGGTCACCATTTTAATTTTTCACCTAGCTTCATTCCAATGATAATTTAACGGGCAGTTAGGTCCTGTCTAGGAGTGCTGACCCCCAACTGCAGCAACACTGTCAGTGGAGGAGTCTATATGAGGATTTTGCCCTGGATCCTCTCAAACATGGAACCAGCCTTTTTAGTCAACGTAACACAAAGTTATCTCTTAACGGAAGTCAATATCACCAATTATCTACATGAGACCTAATATCATGGCATCTAATCTGTTGAGCAGAGCTAGCCC